AAGAAAATATTTTAATAAGTGAAGTAAGTAAAAAGTTAATAAGAATATTTTTGAAAAGAAACCACAACACTTTTAAAATGTTTTTGTTTTTAACGTTATATATATATATATATATATATATATATATATATATATATATATATATATATACAAAACTATAAATTTTATTAATATGTAAAATTAGATACGATCGAACAAAGAAAGACGATCGTTATAATTAAATTAAATAATTAAAAAAGAAAATGAGAGAGAAAATTTAAATTTTTTCAAAAATAACGGATTTCGAAACGAACGAACGAACGAACGAATTAAAAAAGATTTATTTATAAGAAAAAAAAAAGTTTTTAATTATTTCATCACCTTTTGTTTCCTTTTTAAATAAGTTTTTAAAACCTTTTTCATTATTAAAATTGAGAGAGAGAGAGAGAGAAAAAGAAAAAAACAAAAAAAACTTTATATTTACCAATTATGCTAACGGTAAAAAAATTTTTCAAAATGGTGGAAAATTAAAAGCAGACGATGACGATGACGATGACGACTACGTTAGTTTTTTTCATACTTTTTCATACGTGAGTATCGAAATTGATTTCTTTAAATTCCCATAAGGTTTGCTCTATTGCTCTAAGCTATAAAAACCAGTAGAGCACAAGGTAGGAAAAGGTTTAAATTTATTTCCTTTAAAATTCGTTCGATTTTTTTTTTTTTTTTTCCTGTAGAATAAGATAAAATTCTGCTGTAGCAGACGAAAAAACTTAAAAAAAAAAAAAAAAAATTAAATTAGTATTTGATTTCTTACAACCCACGAGGCAGTAAGTAAAACCTCAATAAAAACTTTTTTTTTTTTTTTTTCTATTTTTTTCAACCCTCACCCTTTATATTATTCGCCATGTTAGAGACGCCATTTTGATAATCTCCCTCGCCCAAAAAAAAAAAGTTATTCTTCGCTTTACTTCTTACACCCTTCCTCTTTCTTCTTTCTTCTTTTACCACGATTTTCTACTTTCCCGTTACACCCTTCTTCTCTCTTCTTTCTTTCACCACGATTTTCTTCTTCCCCGTTACATCCTTCCTCTTCTTCTTTCTTTCACCACGATTTTCTTCTTCCCCGTTACATCCTTCTTCTCTCTTCTTTCTTTCACCACGATTTTCTTCTTCCCCGTTACATCCTTCTTCCTCTTCTTTCTTTCACCACGATTTTCTTCTTTCCCGTTACACTCTTCCTCTTGTTCTCTCTTCTTTCTTTCACCACGATTTTCTTCTTCCACGTTTCATAATAATAATAATAATAATAATAAAGCCAACGGCCATAGCGTGCTGGTCACACCGGTTCCCGTACGATCACCGAAGTTAAGCAGCATCGGGCGTGGTGCAAACTTGGATGGGTGACCGTCTGAGAACGCCACGTGCTGTTGGCTTAAAAGAGCAAAAAAAAATGAGAACAAGACAAAGTAAGAACCAAAAAACAAATCTTGTTCTCCTGTCGACCTGAGGCAGCTCGACGAGAATGTGAATTTCACTGCTTCTGACCCTGGCCACTCCAAAGATGTTAGTCACCGGAGCCCAGTTCAGGAGACAAATCGTTCCCTCGAATAAGACGGACTCAGGAAGACCTTCAAGAATTGATGTGGTGCTATCTTATAATAAGTGGCACCCCCCGAAATTCGAGTATTTGTCCCTAAGGAATCGGGTAGAAACCTTGGATAAATACTTTAAAAAAAAAAAAAAAAAAAAAAAAAAAAAAAAAAACTCCGACAAGTAGCCTTGTCGTGTTTAATGGTGGATAATAATAATAATAATAATTTCAATCAATTTTTTTTATATATTCAAATAATAATGATAATTAAATTTAAATTTAAAGTTTTTTTTACTTACTTCTTTACTTAGTTGTAAATTTTTAAAAAGGATAGAATCGTTTTTCTATTTACACTTTAATTTTCAACTTTTTCCTTTTTCTTTCTTTTTTTTTTATAAGAAATTTTCAAACTGAATTTTTATTTTATTTTCCCTTTAGGGTTGTGTTGTTTTCAAAAGTTCATTTTTCATTCACCCTTATTTTCAAGTGTGTGTGAATTTAAGCAATATATATTCTTTAAATCATTTCTTTTTTTCTACCTCCCCCCCCTCTCTCTCTTTCTCTTTTCCTTTCCTCCCCCCTTTCTCTTTCTCTTTTGTATCTTTTTCCTTTTTCTTGTATTTTTCTTTTTTTTTGTTTGACTTAAAAGATAACTTTCATTTTTTTCCTTTTGTTTTATTGTCATCCAGGGTATATGAGAGAATGAAAGAGAGAGAGAGAGTTAGAGAGAGATAGAGAGACTGTCTTAACTTTTCAGTTTTTGATGAAACAAGTTTCATTTTTCATTTTTCTACTCTCTCTCCTTATTTATTTATTTAATAAAATAAACAACTAAAATAATAATAATTCATATATAAATAAATATGTATATGTAAAAAAAAAAAGATGGCGGAATCGTTAGAATATTAAATTACCTTATCCGATCACGTGATTAAAAAACCGGAAATTTATCTCATAACGTTTTTTTCTAATTCGAATTCTTTTTTCATATATTTCGTTCGAATTTTTAAATGTTCGACACCTAAAAAAAAAAAACGAAATCATTCTCCATCTTGTAAAAAAAAAAAAAAGAAAATTCAATTACGGAAAAAAAAAAAATAAGAAAAGGAAAAAAAACACGAGAAATAAAATAAAAAAAAAAAAAACAGGAAACAACGAAAAAGAAAAAAAAAAAAAAACGGAAGTGACGGAAATTAATCAACTTGCAAAAGCGCGCGGGAAGACGTAAAAAAAAAAAAAAAAAAAAAAAAATATAAAAAAAAATATAAAAAAAAATTTTTTTCCTTTTTTCCTTTTTTTTCTTTTTCTTTTTCTTTTCTTTTTTTTTTTTTTCTCTTTTCTCTCCCCTTAACTTTTGTGCTTTTTACAGACGTATACGATGAAGCAGACGAAAAAAAAATAAAAAGAAAGAAAAGGAAACAAAGGAAAAAAAAAAAAAATTTTTTTTTCTATCTTTGTTACAATAAATTTAAAAAAAAAAAGAAGAAAACTACTATTATTATTATTATTATTATCATCATCATCATCATTATCATTACTATCATCATTATTATCATCATCATTTCTTTCTTTCTTCTTCTCCTTTTGTAAAAGGTAAAATAAAAATGGCGTATCAAATCTTTCATTTTTTTCTTTTTCCAACCTTATTTTGACCCGTCACGTTTTTTACGTCCTTTTCTTCATCTTTCGTGTCAGTTTTTCGAATAATAATAATAATAATAATAATAATAATGATAATGATAATAATGATAATAATACGATTGACAATACGCGTTATAAATACTATTGATAATACTATTATTGTTTTACTTTGTGTCGAAAAGAGATAATTAAAGTTTTCTTCATTTTATCCTCATCCTCCTCCTCTATCTCCTCCTCCTTTTTCTACATTTTCTTTCCTTAACATTATTATCATTATTATTACGTATTACCTTCGTCGTTTCTAAAAAATAATAATAATAATAATAATAACTTTAAAAATTTCATTAAAATAATTTATTTATTTACGTATGAGATAAATTTCCGTGCCCTAAAAAAAAAATTATTATTATTATTATTATTATTAAACGTCATCATCATTTCATTACGTCATCACTCATACGTTGTTAATGAATGAACGCGCCCGCTCACATCGTTTTAATTAATTATTTTCCTCTCTATGACGTGTATTCTTAAGCTAAACATTATTTTCATTTGGGTGTTAACTTATTCTTCATTCTCTCTCTCTCTCTCTCTCTCTCTCTCTCTCTCTCTCTCTCTCTCTCCCTTCTTCTTTCTTTCTTTCTTCAACCGGAAATGGTTTTCATTTTATTTTTCAACACGTCGAATATCATCATCATCATTATTATTTCTTTCTTGAATTTATTGATTGATAACAACAAAACGAGTATCTCTCTATATAAATATCGATTAATAAAAATGTAATAAAAATTAATTATCATTATCATTATTCGTAATAAAAAATAAAATATTTACAAAATAAAATAAAATTCGTTTAAATTATCTTAATAATAATAATAATAATAATAATAATAATAATTAAAATCTACTTGATTTAAAATCATTATTATTCTCATCACATTTATAACCGAGACAGAAAAATTTTTTAAATTAAAAAAAAAAAAAAAAAACAAACATTTTAAATATATTTATGTACACGTGAATATACGACAAACGAACGGGCGACAAAACAAACGAACAAACAAACAAACAAACAAATGAAAAAAAAAATTTTTTTTCTTTTCGCTTTTTTTTCCAATTTTTTTTTATTAAAATCAATTATTGCACTTCGATGACGTCATTTTTAATATTATCGATATTAAAAATATGAATAATATCGATAATAAATAATAGATAATATTTTTTTTTAGTTCACACGAAGGCAGTGTTAATAATTGAGCTGAGCTTTTCTTTTTTTCATTTTTTTCATTTTTTATTTTTTTCTCGAAGCATTCACGTGAACAACAACAATAACGTTAATAATAATAATAATAATAATAAATGAAAAACCAAATAAATGCATTATCGAATTATTATTATCATTATTATTATTATTCATGATAATTTTTTTTTTTTTTTTTTTTTTAATAATAACACATTCTTGCACACACGTTTATTTAAAGGCACGACACTGGCGCTATCTACTGTATAAAAAAAAAAAATTATTACAAGCCACGAAAATTTCGAATTTAAAAAAAAAAAAAACAAAAAGATTAGTAATAATAATAATAATAATAATTATAGGATAAATGTTTTTTCCTCTTTTTCCATCTTCATTGTTTTGTCTTCTTTTTTTTTTTTTTTTTTAATTTTACGAGCGGGATTAGTCAAAGTGAAAAAATACAAGTAAATTATTATCATTATTAGTACGGGTCGGATATTAAAGCTAATCATTTGAGAATCAAACGTTGACGTAAATTTTTGTTATTTATTTTTTGAGTAACGGTAACTTTTCGTTTTTCCTATCCGTTTCAGAATTTTCTCCTTTCGCACTTGTTGTTTCTTGCACGATTCCTCCTCCCCCCGATCCTCCTTCTCCTCTTATCGGACTGCTATCTCTCCACGGTGAATGAATTTCCGATGTTTGGTAATTACTTCTTCGGCCGATCTGTAAAATTTCAATTGACCAATTCTCAAATCATGCGTCAAAGAAAAAAAGGAAAAATTATTTAGACGTACCTGACGATGGTGAAGTTCGTGTAAATACAACGTGCTGAGAGCCATGTCGGCGGGAGTTTGTTCAATTTGATCCGCGCGTAATATAATATCCGGTCCGGAACCGAACACGGAAGCTCCTAAACTAGTCGTGGGATCTATGAATCCCCTCAAACCCAATGCTAATGACTGAGGTCCCGAATTGCAACTTTGATCGTTTCCAGGGATATCACCTATGAAAAAAAGAACGTGAAAAAATTTATGTATTTCCTCCCCCTCCTCCCTCCCTCCCTCCCTCCTCTCGACCGAACCTCTTTCATTTTTTCCAGGTCCTTCCAATCGTCTGAGTCCTCCTCGAATGCTTTGCTGCATGGACGTTGCGTTATAATTTTGAACCGATTGACTGACGTTTAGAGGATTGTACGATTTATCCGTTTTACTCGGTCGTCTTTCGCCTTCTGGTCTGAACGATTGTCGTAGAAAACTCGTTGCGAAAATGTTATACTGTGAAAAAATTTAGAAAAACGATCAAACGTCACAAATCGTTTCAAATTCTAAAAAAAGCAAGATGCGTGAGTAACGACAACAAATCCGTCTCACCCCAACTCCGAGTGACGATATAGAATGTAGGGAAGTACAAAGGGGATTATTAAATCCCGCAGTATTCAATTCTAACATTTCGGCATCTTTTATCGCTTGAGCTTTCAACTTTTCAACAAAATTTTCCGCGTCGGCTGGAGGACGCCAATTCGGATTCGTTAACGTAAAATGTATGAGTGACAGTTCCGTTTTTCCATCTTCGGCCTGGAATGAAAGACATTTTAGTAAAACTAATCAAATCGATTTTTTTTTTTGACAAAAAAATCAAGTGAGGTCACCTGAGCGAACTGAGGACTGGGAGACGTGTTTGCTTTGTTAATTTTTTCACTCTCGTCTTCCGGTTGCCAGTCGGGGTTTCCGTGTTTCCGAATGTCCATTTGAGCAAACGAACAAACGTCTCCCACTCCGACGACTTCCACCGTGAACTGACGATAAAAATCGACAATGTCGATGGCTCGTCGACGTAGACGGAAATACAATATATATGGAGTCACTAACGGAGAGATCAATTCTTGAATTAAATATTCCTGGAAAAATAAACGATATAATTTTTTTTTTAAATTTATAAAATATTATGTATAGAAAACTTTAATTTAAAAACCAACCGCTTTATATTGAAATATTTGGGAAAATTGAGAGTGAACCGTTTGTGTATGAGCTTTCCCACGCCAAGATTCCGGAAGGTAATGAACGTGTGCTAATACGGCTGTCATCAATTGTTCGGGACACCAAACTAAATTTTCGTCCGGTATAAAAACCCTAGAAAAAAAAAAAAAAAAATATAAATTATTTTCATAAACAAAGTTTTTTTTTTTTTTTTTTTTTTTTTTTGGATAACAAAAAACGACGTTTAAAAATAATCGAAATTATTGGATTGAAACCAACCTTGAAGCGGCCAAAATCCCTCCGAGAACTGTCATAGTCGTTAAAACGTGTTCGACCGTTATTACATCTTCGTCGTAAACCGTTAATGCCAAGAGAACAGCCAAAATAGCACCGGATATAAACCCGACATTTCTGCCAAGAGAATAATAATAATAATAATCATAATATAAGAAATCCACACGCACTCACGCACGCACGCACGCACACGCACACGCCATCGCCATCGATTAAACTCTAAACAATAAACATACTTTGCAATTATGGTCATGATCGGCGATGTAAATATGTTCATGTATTTTGTGGCTGGTCTGTAAGCTCGATTCAATCTTGCGTTCAGCTCGTGATCGAGTTCGTTAAAATGCCTCAAGTAGAGCCTACCGTGGAGGGACCAACATCTTGAACCGAGACTTTCGGGTTCGCGTTTGATCATCTGAAAAAAAAAATAATCAACCTCGAATAAATAATAAACCGAACTGCGAGAGCACTCGTTGAAAATAATATCAATCAATCAATCAATCACCTCGGCGTACGTAAAAAACGAATGCATTATTTGCCATAATAATATCACAGGACACAAAACGAAATTGATAACGGCAAACCAAAATATGTGTTTCGATAAATTAGCAGCCAGTTCGTTACGTTTATTCACTTTTTTGTACTCTTCCTTTAACTGCCAATTGTTATCAAAAGGTGCAAAAGGTCCCCCTGAAAAAAATAAATAAATAATTACCAACATAAAAAAGATTACCATTAAAAAAACCGAAAAAAGATAACAACTCACTAAACAATAACAACTCGATATTATATTTTAATCCCCTACTGAAAAAAATAACATTTCCATAAAATGGAATTTTTAATTGAACCGGTATTAAACTTTTGTTAACCATGGCAACCATGTAATTTTTAAACCTTAGAATCCTATGATAGATATCCAACTCTGTTAAATCTTTTTTATGTATGCACATTTCATGTTCTTTTTGAACCGTTTTTAATCTTTTTTGAACTTCGTGCCAAGTTAAATTATCCAATTCACTCTGTAAAATAAATAAATAAATAAATAAATATTTATCCCCAATTAAAAATGTACAAAGTTTTAACAAATCACAAAAACAAATATTTTTTTTTCGTTATTTCCTTAATATCATTCTGACTCATTTTTTCCATTTGTAATCAATGAATAATTAATCATTATGTTTTTTTTGTTCGTTTTAATTTTCACACACACACACACACATGTGTGTGTGTGTGTGTGCGGAAGGAAGAAACTTTCCCTTTGTGTAATTTAACCGAATGAGTTTTCATTAAAAAAAAAAAAAAAAACTTTGTCTTCCGATATTTACGACACAGAAATCGTAATTGTAAATTGTCAAATTTTCATTAATCAGTTAATAAATAAAAATGAACTTACATCACAGATATTAAGGGCTGTGTTATAAAATTTTTTTATGTCCCAATAATGAACACAGTCGCATAAAACTTTTATAAGTCTCAATAACCAAAAGAGTACTGCTATTATAATTAAAATCCATGTAATAGCACCCATGCTTTTCACGCATTCTTCCCACGGCAATAATGCATCTTCGATTGAAACTTTTGTCGAATTTTTATTCTTCGTTTCTTCATCCCTAAATAAAATAATAATAATAATTAATTAACAAATAAGTAAATAAAAAAAAAAGTTTAAACATGATGACAATGGCATAAAATCGACATGTCGTGATAAAATTTCTTTGTTTGTCATTTGACATGGTATAAACAAAGCCTAAATAATAAATAATCGGATACCATCTATCATTTGAAGAAAAAAAATTCGTTTCATAATAATTTTAACATACATTATTATTATTATTATTATTATTATTTTGTTTTAAATTCATACTGTGTCATTTAATTTGTATGGAACAAGAAATTAATTAAAATTTCAATTTAAAACATTCATACCTGAATAATATGGGGTAATTGATGCAGTGGAACAATATAAAAGTAAAGGCTGCGACGAAAGCAAATTGTCCCAATTCGAAAAACTCCTGTAAAATCATACAAAGGAATCCATGTTTTTGATGATAATGATAAATTCTTGTGAAGAATGAATCCAAATCTTCAATCGGACCCCAGTTTGCTGCAACAAAAAAAAATTGATAATAATATCATAGACGTGAAAATAAATAAAAATTAAAAAAAAAAAAAAAAAAAAACTTACATCTATCAGATTCAGGTACATGTATTAAAACTCCAGCTTCGTGTGGATTTTCATCATCATCATCATCATCATCGATATCTTCATCGATATCTCCATCATTTTGATAATTTGCATTCTGAAAAGATTGATAAGTCGACATTTTGCTATTTCACATCAAACTTCAAGTTTGACATATTTCCCTATTATTATTTTATTTAATTAATTAAAAAAAAAAAAAAAAAACCATCACAAGTACGTAAAACGATTTGACTTTGTCTAAACATTTTTTTTTTTAACCGTTAACAAAAAAATTAGTAAAAAATCTTTTTTTTTTTTAATTTAAAAAATTTTTTTTAACATTTTTTAAAAATAAAAATAAAATTTTTTTAATTAAATATATATTAATTTAATAAATTCGATTCGGTTTAAATAATTATTTTCAAAAAATTAATCGTTTAACTAAAATTTTGTCGAGTAATAACACTTCCATAATGATTAATATATCATCGTTCTTTCACAATTCAAGGTAGCCAACATAATTTTTTTTTTTTTTTTGTTGTTTCGAATGACATTGAAAATTAACGAATTTTTTTTTTTTTTTTTTTTTTACGCAGTGAATATTATTATTGTTATGACGTTAAATTGACACACGTAACGTAAACAAAAATAAAATGATATTTTTTTAATTTATAAATAGACGCAACACGTATGACGTTTAATACGTTTTTTTTTTTAAAACCTTGAATATTACTACCACTTTTTCTAATTCCACGATTGTTTTTATTTTTTTATTTTTATATGAAGCCTATATAGTAAAATTTATAAATTTTATTTAGTAGTAGTGGGGCTGTGTTGATTTTTTTTTTTAAAAAAAATTTCTTACATTTAGAAAGAAACAAAAGGGGAACTGCTTTAACTCATGTTAAATATAATGTAATTAAAAATTTTTTAAATTAATGAAAGGTAAAATTTAACATATTTCCCAAGCCCGACGTTTGCTAAATAAGTTTTTTAAATTAATAGAAAGATAATTTGACATTATTTTTATTCGATATCTGACTACATTTTTTTTTACATTTGTTACAATACTTTTTTTTTTTCGACTGTCCCTCATTCCCTGAATGTTCATCAACATTACTGATATAAGATATTCGATTCAAATTATATATATATAAATTTTTAAAAATTCCAAATGTAAGCAAATTTTGCCCCTCACAAAAATGTTTTCATTTTACCTTATCAATGTCAAATAATAATAATAATGAAAATTTACAAGAAAAAAAAAAAAAAAAAAAGCTTCAAATGATTTCCCTTTGCGAGAAAAAAACAATTTTTTTAACATTCGAAAGTATCCAATACCTCTTAACCAAAAACAAAAGAAAAAGTTTTAAGTACTTAATAATAATAATAATAATAATAACTTACCAATTATGGACAATATGTTTTCTCCATTGATCACCGATTAAATTCATCATTTATTTAATATTATTATCATTAAAATTTATAATAATAATAATAATAATATTTCAGAAGAATTTCTTTTGTATATTTCATTTTAAATTGATTTTCATTTCTTTTAATGATTTATTTACGTTGACGTGATATTTACAATTAATCTGAAATAAAAAGAAAAAATTAATTAATTAATTAATTAATTAATACAAATAATTTCGTTTTCATTAAGGAAAAAAAAAAAAAAATTAAATTTGTTTTCTTTTATCTTTTGACATAACCTCATCTGGTCACATGTGTTTTTTTTTTTTTTTAACCTTCAACGAAGGAAAACGATTTTTCATTTACAATCAGATCGTCAATCGTTAAATACTTATATATAATAATAATAATAATTATTATTAGTGAAAAAAATTCGGGTAATGTACCCTGTTTTTCGAAAGTGCGTGATTTCAATCGTACATGATTTCAATAATTATTTTTTATTTAAAATCCATCCGACACATGTAAATAATGGCTATTGTAAAAATTGCACTCGTTCATTTGCATGCCGTAAGTAATAAAAAAAAAAAAAAAAAAATTTACGATCAGAGTGATTTGTTTATGTTTGTTGTTTGTTTGTTTTCTTCTCTTCTCACTTCCCCACCTGTTAATCGGGTACTATAATATAAAATATTATTTGCAATTATTTTAAGAGTGTGTATATGAAAAAAAAAAAAAAAAAAAAAAAAATGATATGATCAAATGTAAATAGTTGTCATGACTTCAATTATTATTATTATTTTTTTTTTTGTGTGTTTATATATATATATAAATTATTTAAATTTTAGCCAGTTTTGTGTTTTTTTTTTTTATTGTAAACGACCAATGAGTTAATAACGTCTGTGTAAAAAAAATAATAATAATAATAACAAGTAATGTCGCGGTTTGCGTAATATATATATATATATATATATATATAACATATTAAATTGTTTACATAAAAAATTTTTTTTTAAAAATCATTATCGGTACGTGTGAACACACGTGTCAGGTGAAAAATAAAGAAAACAAAAAAATTTTTATTCTCCTCTGCAAAAGTTTTCGATTGAGTTTTGGTTTTAAAGTGTTCACTGCAAATTTTTTTTTTTTTTTTTTTTTACTGTATTCTGCTCGTGAGGTCACGAGGTCATTTTTTTAAATAACTCATTATTACATGTAGACAATGATGATAAATTTTAGTCTGATAGTTAATTACTCATAATAATAATAATAATAATAATTATCACAATTTTTTTTATAACAGTCGATTACTTATTAATAGTTTTTTTTTTCAATTCGAATAAAAAAAAAATTTACTTTTAATTATTACATAACATATTATTATTATTATTATTATTATTATTATTATTATTATTATTATTAGGCATCATTATCGAGATGTTGCAATGTACTTAATTTTTTTAATGTTTGTAATGAAAAATTTTTTTATCGACTGGAATTTTCTATTCACTATCGAGTGATTTAAAAATAAGTTTCAAATTGAAATCATTCATTCGATTTATGTTACACAACAAACTCAAATTGTTGTTTTCGACAAACACATAGTAAAAACAACCAATGATGAAACAATCGAGCCGCAAGGAAACAAACTTATAAAAATTTATAATTGGTTGTTGTTGTTGTTGTTGTGATTAGAAATTGCAAAACATTCAGAAAGTAAATAAGGAAAAAAAGATTTTTTTGATTTTGACATTTGACATTTTGACAATGAGGATGAGGAGAGAGAGAAAGAGAGGAAAATGGGAGGGGGGAAGAGGGGTCGCGAGGGGAGGGGGGGAAACGAAATTTGTTATTAAAAAATTTTTTTTACCTATAAAGTCAATTGAAAATGTGTATCATGAATTAATCGAATGAAAGTAAAACTGTTTTTTTTTTTTTTTTTTTTTTTAAGTGCTAATAATGTGAATGAAAAATTGTTTAAGGTTTTTTTGTTTGTTGAAAATCAGTAGTAGTAGTAGTAGTAGTAGGAGGAGGAGGAGGAGGAAGAGTTATTAAAACAAAATAAAAACTTTGATTGAATTTAATTAATTTATAAAAAATAAATAAAATAAAATGATGATAAAGTTGACATTCGTTTTATCAATCGGAGTGTTAATTATTTCAGTGGTCGATGTTGTTAAATTAAAATCATCCAAATTGGACGGTACGGAGGGAGGAATTAAAATACTAGAAAAATGTTCAAAAACGGAAGAAATCAATTTGAACGTGGTGGAGGATATGTGTTTACCGGAAGAACAACCTCCCCATCCCCACGACCACCAACAGCGACAGAGACAGGAAGAAACGAGCGAATTTAAAATTAAAAAAAATTTCCAATCGGAACATGGTCGGTATGAATACATTTGGAAAGGGTTGATTTCTTTAAGAATTTTATGAAAATTTACAAATATATGTGATTTCACTTTTTAGGGGTCATGGAGAAAGAAAGGGAAATTTGTCACGTCGGAAATAACGTCGAAAATATCGAATCAACGAATGAAATTTTCAATTCCGGTTCCTCAACTTCGACGACGACCATTTCCGGTCACGAGTTTACGGAAACGAGAAAATCAGAAGAGATAAAGAAAAATTTAAATTGGATGAGATGGACTGAGTATAGTCCTTACGCCAAAGATATTATTAAAAACAGTGAGTATCGTAAAACCCGAGAGGAAAAGAGAGAGAGAGAGAGGGAAGAAGGAAGAGAAAGAGAGAGAGAGAGAGGGAAGAAGGAAGAGAAAGAGAGAGAGAGAGAGAGAGAGAGAGAGGGGGAAGAAGGAAGAGAAAGAGAGAGAGAGAGAGAGAGAAAAGGGTGAAAGGGAGAGAAAGGGTACGTTGTCGCGCACGCACTCGCACACACGCGCGCCCGTATTTATATTATTATTAATATGTACGTATTTATTTAAGTGACGAATAATAATAATAATAATAATAATAACCTTGAAAAATGATCTTGGCACGTTTCAAGTCTCAGTGATATCGAACGTTTGCTCTTTGCCTTAAACTTTTATTTTTTATTTTTATTTTTATTTTTTTGAACATTTGGTCGAACAAAAAAAAGGGGCCCCGATTTGACCCGATTGTAACCTTCAAGGAAAGTTAAAAAAAAAAAAAAAAAAAAAGTGTGTCGTCAGGTCGAATGAAATCGTGAAAAACGTTTAAATGATAACGATAACAACGTCGTAACCCTGTCCACGTTTTATTTTAGATAAATGGGAATCGATACAAGACGAATTGATAACGGTTGTGAGTTACAACGTTTTGTCACAATCCCTATTGGAAAAACACAGGTACCTGTACAAGAGAAACGATGAAAAATCACTCAAGTGGGAAGTCAGGAGTAAATTGCTCATTGAAGAAATAAAAGAATTCGATGCGGACGTGAGTATTTTTGCTCCTCGAACCGAGTCCGTTTGAAACCTAAAAAAACCTTTTTTAGAAACTAAAGGGAAACGTTATCGGTTCCAGATATTATGCCTCCAGGAAATAGATTCGAGTTTAGTCAATTCTTTTTACAATTACAATTTGAATCTTTTGGGTTATCAGGGTATATACAAACAGAGGACAAACGAAAAAGTCGACGGTTGTGCCATTTATTACAAAAGGGATAAATTTAATCTCGTCAAATATATGACGGTCGAATTGTTTAAAAGATCCGTTCATTTGTTAGGTGAATGACCTTTGCTTTAGTTTCATTATTATTATTGTTTACCGAACGTCGTGAAAAATTCTTATCGTTTTTTAATTTTGTTTGTTTGGTGTGAAATGTCCATGATGGATGCTGATGATGATGCTGATGATGATGCTGATGCTGCTGATGATGATGATGATGATGATGATGATGATGATGATGGTGATGATGATGACGATGATGATGATGATGATGGTGATGATGATGACGATGCTGATGATGATGATGGTGATCAGATCGTGATAACATTGGAATAATTCTCAAATTAACAATGAAATCGAATCCGAAATCGGAATTTGTCGTCGCAACGACTCATCTTTTGTACAATCCGAAAAGGGGAGACATTAAATTGGCACAAACGCAATTGATGCTCGCGGAAATCGAAAAAATGGCATATGCTAAACATAACGCACTAGCACGACAACCGGAATATTTGCCCATCATATTCACCGGAGACATGAATTACTCACCGGAAAATGGTAAAAACAACCGAAAAGTTTGTTTGTTTGTTTAAGTTCAAAAGAAAACAAATGGCGTTTCATTGTTTTGTTTTGTTTTCTTTTCAAAAGGGGTTTACCAATTAGTCACGAAAAGTTATTTGGAATACGAGGGTATGTCGAGCGAAAAAATTTTACCCTCTCTAAGAGGTCACATACTCAACAAAACACTTTTACCCCCGAGAATTGGAATCACGGATTCGTGTCAATACGTGTTTAGTCTATCGAACAGGGGAGCGCGGAAAATTTTTTTTTTTTTTTTTTTAATCCTTTTAAATATGTGAGGAGTCGTTGCCCCCCCCCCCCCGCGTTTACCCCCGAATGTTTTTTTTTAATAATTTTTTTTCTAATGGTTGTAGAGAAAATGCCGGCGAGGTTAGCTTTTCGACGGGAGCTTTGGATCATCATTTAAATTTGGAAAGCGTTTACGAACACGTGAAAGGAAATTTACCGGAAGCGACGACGAATCAAAATCACTGGGTGACGGTGGATTACATATTTTACAGGTTCGTTGAGTTAGGGGGAGGAGGAAGAGGGAAGAGGGGAGAAGGGAGAGGAGAATTTAATTTTTTTTTTTTTTTTTTTTTGGTTTTTTCCAGTCAATTATGGAACGATAATTTAAAATTAAAATCCGAAGGAAATCTCAAATTGATCTCGAGGCTCACGCTTCCAAATTCGCGAGAAGCCGAAGTTTATCTCAGGTATCTCCCGAATTTGGCATGCGCGAGCGATCATCTTCCGTTACGTGCAACTTTTCAACTCACGTCGGGAAATCGATAGCAATAAACAAAAAAAAAAAAAAAAATCGGTTCCCGTAGGAGGAGGAGGAGGAAAAGGCGGCTGGAAGTCAGGTCACAATCGTTTAAACACGCGAACGTCGTCGACCTACTAAATAAAAACAAACAAACAAACAAACAAACCAAAACAAAAGAAAACAAAACGTTTCGATCGCGGAAAATACAACAAAAAAAAAAAAAAATTCAAACAACCCTCGCGATTGTATCATTATTATTATTATTATTATTATTTGTAAGAAAATAAGGGCTTCCGTTTAAATATCAAACGCTCGTAAATTTTTTTTTGGTGGGGAGAAAAGAGGGGAAATCGATGGTACGAAAAAGGATAAAGCAGACGACAGAGCATCATTCATTCTTCACAATCATTATCATTAAACAAAACAAAAAGAAAAGACTACGAGTAAACGTATTAAAACCGAAAGTAATAATAATAATAATAAATATTTAAATTGTTTTTTTTTGTTTTGTTTAAACAATATCTATTTATAAATATATTTATTTATATATATATATATACGTGTACATTAATATTAAATAAATAAATAAATGAATAATACGAAAATAATTTTTGTTTGTTTTCAAAAAATTTATTTATATATGTATAGAAATAATACCTTGTACTCCTCTTGTTGGATTTTTCTTTATTATTTAAATATTAAGCAATAATGTGTAATTACGTAAGTTAAAAATAACGCGGTAAAATATTAAAACGATTTAAGATAAATAATAAAACTATTAAAATTTTCATAGTCTTGCCACGAGGAAAAATTAAAATCGATTCAAATTTTAAATAAGTTTTCACAAGCGTGTGTGTAGTCCTGTGTGAGAGAGAGAGGAAGGGAGAGAGAGAGAGAGAGAGAGAGAGAGAGAGAGAGAGAGAGAGAGAGAGAGAGAGAGAGAGAGAGACAGAGACAGAGAAAGAGAGAGAGAGAGAGAGAGAAAGAGAGACAAGGCGAAATTTTTTTTTTTAATTTACCAATGAAATTAACATAATTCGCGCATTTTTAAATATTATTATTATTATTATTTTATTTTCGTCGAAAAAAATACGTTACAAATTTATTAAATATATAAATAAATATTTGTTTATAAATAAAAATGTTTGTGTTTCTGCGTGGGATCAAATCATTTATTTTTAATAATTACAGTTGAGAAAAAAAAAAAAATAAACATTTTTGCATAATTATTATTTTGTTTTTAAATTCTTTTTTTTCGTAAAACTGGATTTTTGTATTTATTATTATTATCATTATTATTATTATTATTATTATTATTATTATTATTATTATTATTATTATTATTATTATTATTATTAATCGTCGTTAAATTTGAAATATCTTCATCGTCATATTCATCAATAAAAAATTTAACCTTAAAAATAAACATTGAAAAAAAAAAAAAAAAAAAATGTTGTTTTTTTATATGAATTTTAATCGTTTGTTTTATTATTATTATTATTATTACATTCGACCGCGGATGGATTGCGGATTTACTTTCATATTTGGTGACATTTGAATCGAAAAAATTCGAATATTATTATTATATCCCCCCCCTCGCCCCCCCCCCCAAAGATCCCCGTGGCAAGAACAAAAAATGTTAATCTACCGCCCCTACAAAATCCGTTTTATGCTTTTATCAATACTTGAATGATCGACAAGTTGTCTCGATTTTTTTCACACGCACGCACGCACGCAAAGCGCGGTTAAAAACGTTTGTTTTATTATTATTATTATTATTATTATTATTATTATTATTATTATTATTATTATTATTATTATTATTATTATTATTATTATTACGAATACGATTGTTTCGATGCGTAATCGCACTCTCCTAACAAATACGATTCCATTCGCCAACAACAACAACAAATCACGAAAGTTCAATTAATAAAAAAAAAATACCATAAGGTGGGGGAGGGGGAAGGAAGGTTAAAAAGGTAAATATCCTGGATGATTCACTTTAAGTTAACCCCAATCCAACGGGATTTTTGCACTTTTATACGAAAAAAAATTAAATAATAATAATAATGATAAATTTTTCCAAACGATTTTCCTGACATTTTCCTCCGACCTTTTCAAAATTTTCCTTTTCGAAATTTTTTTCATTTTCACACACGCACAGACACACACACAGACACATATCCGATCGCATATTAAAAAATTATCATTATCATAACGATTTTTTCGCTTGCTTAAACTTAACTGAGCTTAATAAACTCAATTTCACTTCTAGGAAAAATGAATTTACTAATGAGTGATAATGTATGATTGCTGACTAATGTGATCGGTCGCGAAGGGAAAATCCCCGAATTTTACTCGTTTTTATTATTATTATTATTATTATTATTAGAATAATGGAATTAACGACGACAATCGTAAACTATGATCAATTGTGACAAATTTAAATGCTGTCGTCTCGTTAACACGTCAAATGAATCAGAGAAAATGATTTGAAATTATTGTAACCCTTCTACGTAATACGATCGTGTCAGACGAACGAAATAAATAATAAATTTTCGTGGCATCAGCCAGTCAGCCAGCCAGTCAGCCATCGTTAATTACAAACTATAAAAAAAAAAAACACGAGCGCCATTTTTAAAAGTCAAACACCAAAGTTGCAATAACAAACATTCACACACACGCACACACACACACACACACGCACACACACACACACACACACCTTAAGAAACAACAAAAACAATTCGTATAATATTTAAACTGTCATAATAAAGCATGAGTTTTTATGCGAATCATTCATTTCCGGATGTACGATACGATAAACAAAAAAAAAAAAAAAAAAAAGGGGATTCCCCGATAAAATAATTACGTTACGATCTCGTTTTCAACTACATTTTTTTTTAAAACGCAATTAAAACTTAAAAAATTTAATTTCTTCTAGAAAATTCCAGTAATTTTTTCCACTACAAATAATTTATCTTATTCGTCGTCTGATAAAAAAAAAAAAAAATTATTTTATATGACTTGGATGTAAATAAAATTTAAACAACTTACCGGTTTTTTTTTTTTTTTTAAAGTAATACACGAGAGAACTTGGATACCATAAAATTATTTTCCTTTTTCTTAGAATTCAACAAACGACAACAACAACAACAACAACCAACTTATTCGTTGTTTATCATTTTATGTGTCGTTTCCTGAAAAACAAACGACAAAAATTATTTAATGTTTATTTTGATTTATTAACCTATTAAAAAAAATAAAAAATTATTTAATAAAATTACAAACTATCAATAATAACGATCATATCATCGATCGTAAATAATAATAATAATAATAAAAACGGATTCGATGATGATAATAATAATAATAATGATTTTTTTTTTTTTCGTTCTGGAAGGAAAATCTCTTCATCCTCCATCCAGCATTGATACCGTACGAAGTTGTTTGTTTGTTTGTTTGTTGTCGTAGGAGACCTAAAGAAAAACTTGATCCGTAAAGGATAAGGTTAAATATTATTATTATTATTATTATTAACGAAGCAGTAGTGACCCAAATACTGGAATAATTAGTTCGTCGAATATTTAATTAAACCAAATCAGACATTTTGGAAAATTAATTCCGAGAAACGACAAAAATAATGATGATAATGATGATGATGATAATAAATAATTCGATTATTTTAATTGTTTTTTTTTTATTAAATAACCGATTGACCTCTATTAAAATTAATTTTTTTTTTTTTTTTTTTTTTTTTTAAACGAATGAATTTTCCCGCGTAAAAATTTAAAAATTTTAACGATTACGTGACGTCATTAATTAACACCTGCAGTGAGTGAAAATGGGCGATTTTAAATCGAAAAATGTTTTTAAACGCGAGAATATATTTACAAATTTAAAAATCGTTTATGCACTTTTTTTTTTTTTTTTTTTTTTTTTTTTTTTACCATCTTTCACGGTTCGTACCTGAATTTAAAAAAAGGGAAAAATTTTGTGGTGAAAATAAAAAATAAAAATGTGCATGCATGAACGTTTACAATAATCTGGGTTTCGATATATCAAGTCACGTTTTTTTTTTTTTTTTAAACCAAGATTTAAATGTTCGGAAACTATGCTATTATTATTATTATTACTATTATTATTATTATTATTATTATTATTATTATTATTATTACTATTATTATTATTATTATTATTATTATTACTATTATTATTATTATTATTATTATTATTATTCTTTTATGTTGATTTTTTTTTTTTTTTTTAAATCGAAATTTTTTATACTCGCTTGCTGACAGTGAGAGTTTGATTATTTTTTTTTAAAATGGAGGATTCTCCCTCTACCCCGAAATCCTATTTAGTCGGAAAAACCTGTTTTTTTTTTTTTTTTTATAAATATATTTTCATTATTTATTAATTTCACGATTATTTTTATCGTTTGATTCGTCGCATACCGCCGCCATTATTATTATTATTATTATTATTATTATTATTATTATTATTTTTAATTTAAAAATTCGCGTTTTATTAAGTTAAAAATTTTTTAATTACGAACACTTTAACAATTATTTCATTTATTATTATTATTATTATTATTATTATTATTATTATTATTATTATTATTATTATTATTATTATTATTATTATTATTATTTTCGATGATATTATGACGTCATAAAAAATTTTTGATTTTCAACAATTCGACAAATAATAATAATAATAATTATGAAACAATTTATTTCGAATAATGAAAAGTGAAATTTTTCTCAAAACAAACGTTTTCAATTGTTTTATTTTTAAAAACTATGTAATGTTTATATTAAATAATATTTTCACGAAAGATGGGGGAGAGAGGTGGGGGAGGGGACGGGGGGGAAGGTCAGGGCATCCCCCGGATTTTAAATTTCCGCCACGTTTTTTATTATTATTATTATTATTACTATTATTACTAACAACCGTCATCAGTATTATTTAAAAACATTACATAAACATTTTGTTATTAATATTTATTTTATCCGAA